TTATCTCGGCCTTTGATTATCTGATTGATTAATTGATTGATAGATGTTTCTGGTCGGGATATCATCTCAACGATAGATTGCCTCCAAATGGCATCTCAGAAACAATGGAGCCGGATGCTCATTTTCACGACCGTGCTGCTGGCAGTTTCGGCGTTTAATTATGGGTTCAGCGATCAGGCGTTCTCTTCGTGTCAGGCTATGGATTCGTTTGCTCGTCAGTTTGGTGTTTATCATCCCAGTACCGGGAAATACAAGGTGAAGCCGTTGTTTACTTCGCTTTATAATAGTTTAAAGGCGGGGACGCAGATTGTCGGTGAGAGCCGTACTTTCCAGGGCTATGGAGTATTTGCTAATTTGTTTGCGACAGGTGTGTTCCTAGGAGGCTATATTAGCAATACCTATGGTCGGAAATGGTGCATCTTCAGCATGAACCTCTACGCACTAGGCAGTGCAGCAGTGGTGGTGAGCTCCAAAACAGACGCACAATTATTAACCGGTCGCGCATTACACTGTCAGTATTTCCTCACATCTCCCAAAACAAAAATCAAACCAACATCTAACCTCTATAGACATCTACCTAGGAATGCAACTAGCCGTAATCCCAACCACCCTCGCCGAACTCGCTCCCCGAAACGTCCGCGGCGCCATGGGCGTCCTATACTGGCTCAGCATTAAAATCGGAGGCCTAGTAGTAACTGGCATCGCACGAGGCACATCAGGCATTTCAACAAACGCCGCATGGCAAATCCCCTTCGGCTTGATTCTGGTCATCCCATTCATTTGCATATGGCTCGTCTGGATAATACCTGAATCCCCACGATGGCTGCTCCTCCGCGACCGACAGGAAGAAGCACTGCAAGCGTTAAAACGATACCGATCGAAAAACACACCCGAACATGAGATACAAAAGGACTTTGACGAAATGGCGCAGAAAGTCACGGCCCAGCTACAGAAGAAAAGCTTCAAGGATCTCTTCATTAAGGGAAATCGTGAACGTACGTTCGTTGTTGCCGCTGCGAACTTCTTTCAGCAGGCTTCGGGGCAGGCGTTTGCGAGTCAGTATGGAACACTTTTCGTGAAGCAGTTGAAATCGGTCAATGCGTTTAGTGTCACGCTTGGTACTAACGCGACTGATATTGGAGCGTTGATCATCTCGACGGCGTTGAGTGATCTGGTTGGACGAAGGTGAGAGCATATTTCATTCCCTTGGTATAGCATTCACTAACACCAAACTCCAACTGCAGAATGCTCTTCCACGTAAGCGGCTTCCTTGAAACGGCGTCCTTAATGACAATGGGCGGTCTCGGCACCGCAGACCCCAGTAACACTGCTGCCAAAGAAGGCATCGTGGCCATGCTGCTTCTCTACAGCTTTGGTTGGTCTCTTGCCTGGGCGCCATTGGTGTATGTGCTCGGTGCGGAGTTGCCTTCCGCCGGGTTGAGAGAAATGACTCTGCGGATCGCGTATACTGTGAAGCTGATTACTGAGTACGTTCCCCTCCACACATACCATTGCACACATTTATTCCAGATCATGGAAACTGACAGACTATGATTGTCAGGTTCGCCGTGACGTTCTCCTACCCCTATCTCGAAACCGCAGACGATCCCGGCCATGTGGATATTGGTGGTAAGCTGGGATTCATTTACGGATCGCTGTCTACTGTTTCGGTCATCTTTGGGTATTTCTTCATCCCGGAAACGAGAAAGTTAGAGTTGGAGGATATCAATGAAAAGTATGAGTCGTCCACGGAGAGTGAAATGGAGCAGAAGGTTGAGTATCAGGTTGGGTTGAAGGAGGTTGGGCACAGTGGTGGGCAGAATTGATGAAAACATCTACGGAGAAGACTATTCCGTGGTACAAAATTCATTGAATCATAAATATCTGAGTTCTAGCCCAGAATCGGATTTTCGAATGTCCATGTGGCCCATTCCTTTCCTCGTTGATAATTGAGAAACGCCCACGCGTTCGCATCGGTCCATTTGTCATGCCCTTTTGCTTTAAATATAGCACCTTAGATATCAATCATCATCAGCAAATGGGCCTATGTAGCGCGTACGACTCCAGATCGTAAGGTTGTCCGATCCAGCCGGGCTGGGCTCATTATATTTTTTCTCGTTTTTTTGTTTCTTTTTTTTTGGTCTGCCGTCTGGGCCCCAAGAAACCCATCTTTTATCAAGCACACAATGCAATATAGGAATAGAAAAATAGTATACGTAAAAGCTAAAATAGATATAATAAAATTAAAGGAACGAGAAAAGAACGAGAAAAGAGAAAATCAAGTTCGAAAATGCTGAACTTTGTGAATGAATCCTCCAAATATATATTCTAAGGGGTGTTCTCACGGGTACTATCCCTAAGAACGCGAAACTTAATACTATCTATTTTGCTTAGATCAATGTGACCACGAAAAATATGAATTCTAAGAAGGAGACCCGCTGACAAAATTATCGATCTCAGGTGCCTTGATCATCTCAGAAGCAAAATACATGGCAGTGTCATCTGTATTCATCATATACGAAATAACAGGTACCAGCATATCCTCCCGACCATCAAAATGAGGCACTGCCTCCGCCGACATCAAGCTGTCTCCAAATCCAAACGCATTCAAACATCATGGAATTATTACTCAAAGAAGACCCTCAGCTGCCAGCGCTTCGGACCTGGACTTGCTGTTCGGGTCAAGGTAAGGCCTCTCGCCAATACCGACCGCCCGGTGCCCGAATCTCTCACCAAGGCCTTCATAATCAAAAGTAGCCGTGTGGAAAGCACTCCGGTTATCCCAGATAGCTATCGAGTGTTAGTCCCAAAATGAACAACACAGCAAGTGCATAGAACATACCAATATCATGTTCATTCTTCCACTTGAACCTGACCTGCAGATCGTGACTCTCGATAATAATCGACTTGAACTTCTTCAGCAACTCCTCCGACTCATTCTGGTTCAGCTCATTGATATACTTCGGGAACGGTCCCAAAGCAAAGATACTCTTCCACCCGGTCACCGGATTTGTCCGTACGATCGGATGAACAGCCACCAGCTCCTCCCCAACATTAAGTGGACTTCCACGAGGCTGAGTGTATATCTTGTACTCCTTGGGGTTTCTCTCCGCCGCCTTGATGAAGCCGTCGCCCACGAACGTCGCTGTCAAGCCTTCGAAGAATTTCTGGTATGTTTTCGAAAACCGGTCGTAGAGCTCGTACCCAGATGCCCAGAGGGTGTCTCCACCGGTTCTGGGGAGCTGGGTTAGTCGGAGAGAGGTGTAGTCAGCTGGTGCGGGCTCGAACTGGATATCGGAGTGCCATTGGGCCGAGTCGTAGCGACGACGGTCGGGTTGGCGATCGTGGGCGAACATCTTCTTGCGGGCGAGAGAGCTGATTGTGCTGATTTCGGCGTCTGCGGTGCCGAACTCGTTGGTGTTGTTCAGCAGGGGATGGATGTGCAGGGTGGAGGTGGAGGGTTTGCCGGTTAGTTGGCCTAGTCGATGGATGAGGACTTTCTGGAGGTCGTCGGTGAGGTTGGTTTGGGCGCGGAAGAAGACGACGCCGCGCTGGGAGACTGTCGGTCATGGTTAGTGATGGGGGAGATACAGTTGAGGTAGATTGGGAGAGGCACTCGTGATGGCAAGGTCGCGCACCAGCTCATCGGAGTTGGGAGCGTTCAGGAGATCATCGACGATGTTGACGGTGGGGTATTCACGGCCAATGACTGGGGTTGTTTCTTCGAATGCGAACTCATCCAAAGCACCACTGGGCTTCAGTGGAGCGGGATACCGTGGTTGGTCAGTCGGGCCATCCCCACTGGTTGCGGGGTGCGAGTGGATGGGAAGATCTGCAGATAGTCCAGGAGCCATGATATGTACAGTGTAATAGAACTGGTAGGAATTGAATAAAAAGAATGCTTTGGGGGTTTACTTTGGCTGGATCATTGGCTGAGATATATGGCAACCGGGATGGGGTTGATAAGCATAACTCCCGGCCATCACGCAATTGCCGTCCCGACTTATGCAACAATTCACCAACAACAACCATTCTCGTATCAGCATCGATGGCGAGATGAGAACCCCGCATCTGTCAAATGTCTTGCGCAACCCTGGCCATGGATGACGGTTTCGTAATCGTCTCGACTATGGTGTTAGTGGCTAGAGACACGCGTAGCCATGTCCGTGCGGAGAAGATCGGGTGGCTCTTGTGCCGTCCGGGGGTCTCGCATATTCGGCTTTATCGGATATCCCAGATCTGCGCCTGGCATCGTGACTCTGCTCATAGGAAAGCTGTTCGATCCATGAGCCAATGCATCTGAGCAGGTTGGCTTGTCTTAATGCAAACCACCCGTACTTCCTGGACTAAAAGAGCGCAAGAACCTTGGGATATGATGCCTGAGCTCTGACGTTTGCTATACAGAGCAGTTAATATTGATCAAATCAGTTACTCTTCCCAGCCAACTCTTTTATTTTATGTTCGCGGAGAATCTAACCTAAGCCAATCTTATCCCCCTCCCCAAAAATCCTAGATAGATGAAAGCCTAGAACATACTGTTGCTCTGCTCTTCATTGTGCCTAGCAGAACCTGGCACCTTGTTGTTGTTTTGTTTTGTTTCTTTATTATCATTGTTTTTCTTTTCATTCCCGCTCTTGGTATCAGTATATCATACACAGTAAAAATATCTAAATATGCAGATCAATCCAGGGGCTGCTGGGTGGCACAATGAATAGTGAGATAGCTGTATATTCGAGGCAGATTTCTCAGATATAGAAACTTCCTGCCGCTTTTGTCGAAGGTCGACAAAAGCTGAACATTGCTTCCCAGAAAGGCAAATTTTACATCAATTCGGGCAGCTCAATGACCAAACACAGTAATTTTATCTTGACTCTGTTTTCTCTACCCCAAGAAGATGCTGGAATTCCAGCCTGTGACATTCAATAGCGATATCATTCATCCACAGAAAAAAGAATGTGATACTGAAATGCTAAGAGGATACAAAAATTTCACATATTCTGGATCATTCATAGGCCCATAATCGATGAACCAAGGCCATTGATAGCATTTGTCATTCCTTGGATAACAGTATTGAAGGAAGAAGACTGACATCTATGAGGGGAGGAGTCGGCGTTGAGTCTGTCATAATAAACGGAACGGGGGGCAGAGTACCATTCTGGTGACCTGAAAGACTGTATCTTCCTAAAAATCATAGCGTAACTTAGTCCTGAGAAAGGAGCTTCGCGTTCTAGTGGAAGTAGATCATTAGAATTCATATGCATCGTTAGAGCTCCCAACGTCATCGATCTGCACTCAAAGTCGCAACCCCGACTGCCGCTGAGAAGATCTTCACGCATCTTATTCAGACGGAGTAATATCCCATTAATAACCCCACTCCTACGTTCATTCATTACGTCTGTAATAATATTAGAGATAAAGGGCATTTAGCGTTTGTGTCTCCTTACTGATGATGTTCTCAGGGATTGGAAGCCCACGGTTAGTAATCAAATGATCACAGTGTGTCATAACGTTCGATGTCGATGTTTGAAATTGTGAAGAAAGCTTGAAGAATGCAGAGACCCACAGCCACAGCATTAGATCCCGGGTATATGTTGCGGGAATCTTGTCTTCCAGACCATCGATCCACAGTTCCGTCAAAATAGACACGGCATCCTTGCAGTCATAGTAGTTGATCAGAACAGCAATTTTGGCGAGCATCTCAAGAGAGAGTTTTCGAGGTATTTGGCTCTGTTGGCCGTGAATCGCGCGAAGGAATATTAAGAAGGCTTCAATATCCCAGCTCTCGGCAGTAATCTCAACGGAGCCTTTTTGAAGATAACTGACACTTTCCTTCCAATTACCAGTGAGCATGTTTCTGAAAACTGGGGACGCAAGTATCAAGTGCTTCGCGGAAACTTGAATGCGGAAACATTTCTCATCTGGTGTCTCGCTGAGGTGTCCATCTTCGGTTGGCGTCTCGGAAGGCTGTTCTTCGACAAGTCGGGGTCGCTTTTCGCGGTGTTGGTCCTCCTCCTCATCAGAGGTTTTTGAGTCGCTGTCAGAGTTCTTTTTCGCAGTTGTGTCTTCATGATCATCTGGTGCGAAGGGAGAGTTGGCATTGCTTAGGACTATGATGACATCTCCTTCGGGGTCGATAGTATGAGTTGGTTGATCCATGGTGTGTGCCGGGTGCTGAAGGGATCAGGTATCACTCGGTAAGGCAAAGGCAATAGAACAAAAGAAAGTTAGGGAGGGTAAGATATAAGCTTAAAAGCAATCTCAAGGTAGGTAGTCCAGAGTAGTGTGTATTGATTAAATGAGGGCGTTTAGTAACATGCAGCACGGCAGTAGTCGTTGATTGAAAACTCTGTTGGCCGAGACTCAAGCAGGCATTTTTAAATCAGGGACTTCCCATTTCATGTATTCGCTTGAATTTCTAGAAGCCTTAGGATGACTTCAAAAGATCAATTGGTCTGACCGCCCTGCAGCTAAATACCATGCCTCCTAGGCTAGTGCCTCGGGACAGGAAGCGAGGAACTGGCGATGTTTTGAGGCCCGCTGCTCAGATCATGACAACCGTGAACAATAATCCAATCAAACCAGCTACGGCGGTTAATTGTGGGGCATCGCTGATTTACTCCACTACCAAAACAACAAACGGTACTTGCCTCTATACTATTGTTAACATCAGGCTACTGAGTAATTGTCAAAATTAGCTAGAAACCTGTTTTGGAACGCTCCGGTCTTTATGAAGCGCTGTTTTGGTACAAGTTCATTTACTATACAATTCCTTGCAAAATTAAGTAGACTCTATTACATGACGTGCGTATGCCGGAAAATAAAATATATGAAGAACATTATCTGTTGAGGCGCGTGATTACTAGCAAAGCAACGAAACAGCGAAAGCAAGCAAACGAACGCGCAAAAATGCAGCAAAAGTGTGAGTTGAATTAGTAGCTATCTAGGTGATCTAGTAAACAAAGCGAGAGGTCGTTTGTGGGCGGCCTGAGCGCCTGGCACGTGACTTCGCCTACTCCAGCAGATGCCTCGACATTATCCATAGTCATCGCTTTGGGCTTCCCATCTATAGCATGCCCTTACCAGATCCTGCGGCGAGACATCTTATCACGAATCGACATCAGAGCCTTGAGGACACTCGCATCATCCCTCGACTCAACACTCCGCTGGAAGCTCTTCGGCCACACGTCTTTGTAGGTCAAGTTCGTGAAGAGAGGCACGTCCACCTGGCAGATGGTTCCATCAGCGGGCAACGTGCCATTGGTGAAGTAAGCCCGGACGGCCTTGGCAGTGCAAAGAGAGGGCATGGACAGGGTAGTATGCTGTCACCAGTGAATTAGCTGCTTGCTCACTCTGGACAATATGGAATGGGAAAGTGAAACATACACCGTATCCATTCTGCTCGAGCAGAACACTTCCCTCGAAAGTTTCTGTCAAGTTCTTCGCTGCGGGAAGAGGAGTTGCGGGATCATAGGTGTTGCTCAGAATCAACACCGGGTTAGCTGTCTTGACTTCAAAGTCACCCGAGTAGCGTTCCTTGGCGAACATCTTCGGGTTCCACTGCGCGCATCTCATATCTCCGTCCGAGCCGTCACTTGAGATCTTGCTCAGGGCCTGTCTGGCCTTAATGTAAGGGAGGACCTCTTTTATGGTGGCTGAACGATGCTTGTCGGAGCATGTAATGGCTGTGCCGACCTCATCGGAAGCCGATGTCAAGGAAGCCGATTGGCCGTAAGATTTGATGGTCTCGTATACCTCAGAATTTCCAAGGATTGTTGTGTTCCGGGTTTGCACGTAGTAAAGAAGCTCAGAGGTCAAGGGCCAGGAGCTGGGGAGGTACATGGCTTCAAAGATGGTAGATTTGACGTCGCTCCAAGTCACAATGCCACCAATTTCGGGAATGGCAATCGGGTTGTACTTGAGGTTTTCGAGCATCAGGTAGATGGCAGCTTCCAAGTTCGCGGCGCTGGTGTACTCCTTGGCGATCGGGCACAGGTCCGGTGCGGCCATGCAGCCCGCACAGAAGCCTTCGAAAACTTTGTCGACGTCCACAACAGCTTGTGCGTTGCTATTCGGAAGGAATTAGCAATCTGGAATATACCAGATTAGGAACGTTGAAAGGGCCACCCACTATCCAAAGAGAGCCTCTCTGGGGTTATCCACTCCATCAAGTGCGACATATCCCATTCGTTCCGGGAACATAGCTGCCAGAACAGAACCGATTGTAGTGCCGTACGAGAATCCTAACTATAGTATCAGTAAAAGCATAGTCTCGGTGCAGCCGTGATACATACCCCAGAAGTTCACCAAACTATCCTTTCCACTGAGCGCATCAGCGACCTGCACGATGTCCCTCGCAGCAAAGCTAGTTCCGATAAGGCTACCGGTCTGATTATTTGTAGCATAGCATGCCTGTGCGATGTTTGCGTTCTGCGCCCAGATTTCTCCCAAAGCTGTGCTGGACGCTCTGCCGTCGTTAGGGGCTTGGAGGGCGATGAGTTCACGGGTGGCGTCATCGCTATAGCACGAAAATGGGATGGTGTCTCCAACGCCGCTAGATAAGGTCATAAGTTATTGTTTGTTCGCGACTTAAAGCATGATTGTCACCAACCGATTGTTAAAGGCGATCAAATCATTGTGACCACCGAGGATACTAGAAAACAAATGTCAGTCAGCATAAGATGCTATAAAGCTAGACAGCAACTTACGCCTGAAATTCCTCTCCATAAAGTCCGAGGCCCTCAAACGAATTCACACCAGGTCCGCCAAAGTTAAAAATGATAGGCTCCGAAACGGGTTTCTTGGTTGCTGGCCATTTGGCAATGTCGAGAGTCAGGGTCTTGCTGGAATTCGACTCGGTGTAGTCCAATGGGACGTCTAGTGTTCCGCAGACCAATGTCGGATAACTGGTTAAGTTGCAAGATCCTCTCCATTGGATTTTGCCCAACTCTGCTTGTGAGAGAGCTGCTAGCGAGGCGAGCGAAAGTAGCGTGGGAACGAGAGAAGACTGCCTCGTCATGATGTCTGATGAGAGGTTTTCAAGGAATATAGAAGGTGATTGAAAGAAGCTTGCAGGTCCAAGACATGTTGAGAGCAGGTACCCCAAAGTTCTTTATAAGTTCATCTCACGCAGACCGCAATCTCCCTATGTCAAATCAAAACAAGCGGAATTAATTTTCAAGTTGAGGCTGAGTTCGGCCCCCAAATAGTCAGCCTTGTTGAAGTTCCCGCAGTCGCAAATTTATTTCCTCTTTAGGCTTGAGGTGTTGTCATGAATCTCGACGCGTTCCACAGAGACTGGGGCTGAGGCATCCACCTTAGGCGACTAAGCCTCTACCGGCTTAGTGCTGAGATGATCATCCCTGCAACAGGGATAGCCTCCCCGCATTTTCTGTTCCCGAACATCTCAATTGCCTGTTCGGGTTTAGTCTATCGCGAAGACTCGAAGAACACAGCCTACTGAATATGGCAATTCAGATGGGACCTATACACGTGTTTTCCAGTCTCGTCAGAATTACCTGTTTACTCCTTCTCCCCTTTAAATTAGCAATTTGAAATTGGTTTTGGGGTTGAGCGGATTGAGTGGGAATTGTCGAAAAAACAGGTAGACTCCAATGGAAGAATTTTGTGTGACTACTCATGAAGGAGATTCAACCCATTCAGTTCGAGCCTTTAGGTCCCCATTTTCGGATATCGCATATATTGCAGATTAGGGGATATCGATACCAAGGCCCTTTTGTCCGATGCACAAGACATCCAAGGTGACGAACCGGTGTTGTTTAATTGCTTAGCTTGCTCAGCCACAGATTAAAATTGAGCCATGCTCTTGGAGAGAATAGTAGCCTTCTCTCGATCAATCCTTCATAAATGGAAATCCCACTATGTTTTGCGTTCGGAAAATGGGGCAGTAGGGATATTGTCGGGTACGTCTCTGGCCTTGTACAACTCAAAATGTCTTTACCTTCGTAATTGGCTATCACCAACATGACATTTGCCATGATATAATGGCAGCAGTCAACCGAGTCCCATTTGAGACCCATAGAGAATGAAGTAATCACTACATCCAATCTCTATATCTGAGTGCAGTAGCTTCCGTCCCATTATTAGTGGTTGCGTGGGTGGTGTCTTAATTAGTCTGCCACACCTCATCGGGGAAGTATGGAACTGTTCACACTTGATCTCCATGTGGAGCTCAGCCAGTTTGGCATGATGCAGCCTTGTCATACAATGGGGCCTGCATCCTGTCAAACATGGGTAATAGGCACTTGTGCTTCCTTCCCATGCTTCGTTCGAAACAAAGCCTCATGCGCTAGAATGCGCTAGACCCAGTGTGGGTTCTGCATGTGCTTCATGCAATATTTCTAGACTTATTTCCCAAGAGTAGCCGAACTTTCGTTAGCTTTGGTGGGAGAAAGATGCAAATTAAAATAAGCGCTTATTAAGTATAGCCTCTCCGTTATCTCCTCATGTCGATTGTATAATAAATAGTATTGATGAGTGATGTGAGAAACAGAATTCTGCATAGAATGGATATAGAGATAAGCAGGTTCTAGTCTACTTACGCAAATATAACTCTGTCATTACTGGAGATCAATTTGGCTGATCTTTTCGAGCATACTGCGTCTACCATCTATTAATTATATTGATTGTTAGCAGGGAATCAATCTCTCCATCTCACTCTTCTTCGTATGTATTTATTTTTCTTTCTTCTTCTTTTTCTTTTCTTTTTTTTTTCCCCCTGGTTTTCCCCTCCACTTTCTACTTTCCTCTTTCTTCTCCAAATAGGCCCAATTAAAGCCCCAAGAAAAGAAAAAAAATATCATAGATATCAATGTAACAATTTTCTAATACTACATCCCCATCAAACCGACCTTAGTAGCGGGATATAGCGGGCACCTGCTGATAATTCCAAATCCACCTTCACCGATAATCCTCCCCACTAATTGCAGCATCGTACCCGCACAGGAAGTGGAGCCCATAGCGACAGATGGCCGCTTGCATTTGCCCGCTCGCGTAACTTCGAGGCTTATTTAACTATGTGATTGTGGGTATTGATGGATAACAACACTACGTACTAGGATATAGTTTATTAGTTAATTACTTAGCTTCTGTGGCTATGCTCAATAACTGGTAATTGAGTCTGGGGCTGTGCGTGTCTTTGACAATGTAAGGAAATATTTCCTTTCAGTTAGTTCAACATTGTGTGGATTAGTATGAAAGTAAGGGGGGATGGGAATGATGGATAAACGATACGATAATGACTACATTTGAAGATGGGGACTATCGTTTGTGCCAATCGGAAAGTTGGGTTTTCATGTCATTCTCTCGAGGATCTTGACTGGGTGAAGTATTATGCTTAGTGAGGAAATGAGATGAGTTTTAGTAGTCTGGTGCTGTCAATATTCTCCTTTTTGGCTATAAGTTTCTTGTTTAAATGACGTGAGTATTTTGTAGAGTTATTATTGCTTTCATTTCAGGGAATCATCTAAGCTATACAACAACCTGTTCAGCAATGAGAAATCCAGCATGAAGCGCTTGCAAGACATCGAGATAAAACGCCTGTGCCTATGATCCAGGGGAATACCAGCATCGAAAATCGCAAGAAACCAACATAAGCGCCGCGCCCGTAGCTGGAATCTAGGTATACCAGCATCGCAAATTGCAAGACATCAAAACCAACGCCTGTGGTTGGGATCTGGGACTACCAGCACTGAATACCATACCAGATGAACGCCTATGGCTTCACTCCAGGAAGATGCAATGAGAAGAACATGAAAAGAGAATGACAACGCCGGCCGGATACCGGCTACCCGATGTCTCCTATGCACTCGGCAAAAATATCCGACACAGTAAGTAAGAAAGTGAATGGAGAAATTTCTTTCCGCCCTCTGTGTTTTTTATTTTAGCGAGGGGTAAAACACACTGATCTTTCAATCAATCATACCCCCCTTTAACTTACCCTTCAAATCAGAATCTTGGCTATCATCCTCATTCTTCATCGTTCTTTCCCAGAAAGTCATTCCCGGGGACCTCAAAGCAGCCCTTTAGGGTATGCATGAGGTCCCCCTCGCGAAGATCGACATAGATAGTGCTGATGAGCGTACCAATCGTCTGTTTCTCGCTAGGAATCGCATGAGGAGGTGAGAAAGTTGGATGGTCGACGACGCCCTTGTGCATTGGGACCTCGAGAGTCTTGCGTACATAATTGTACAGTTTGATGGAGGAGGTGCAGAGATAGTCGGGCGTCGATGGGTCGAGGAAGTATTTTTCACGCGTCATCTCATACTCCTCGCACAGCTTAAACTTGGCATCTTCCTGCCAAAGCAGCATCTTGCCTGGAATATCTGCAGTCTTGCTTTCGTCACACTCAATCGTGATCAGATCCAGGACGGTGCCGAGTGCCAGGGTTGTCGAAGTTGCTGCGCGACTGGCGAGTCCGAGGTTGGAGTTCTTTCCCCAGTGTTGCATTAGGACCTTCCAGATCTCGTCTTTGATGTGCGGGATACGTTCTTCAGGGACCACGTCTTTGCACATGGCTGTTGTTGTCTCGTCCACGGAAGGCTTGGCGGATTTCTCGAACTCGAGTTGGAGTGTGCGTAGGTCGAGAGCCTGGCATAGCACATAGATGTGTGTTGCCATCATGAGCGAGAGGATCTCGACGGTGTCACCTGCGTAGCGGGCCGTGAGGAGAGCCAGTGAGTTGAGAGATTGGTTGTGCATTTCTGCGGATTGGACGAAATTGCTGACGGGGTGAGCCAGGTATCCCAGTTCGCTCATGTACGCTGCCATGTTGATATCGATACCCTTGAAGGCGAAAGACAAGTTGGGATCGTCGGAACAGAGGTTGGGAGGCAGACCCTTGCTGAACATTGGGTTAAGCAGTTCGGAGCATTGAGCGAAGATCATCTTCCCGAGCATTTGCATACAGGTCATGACTTTCTCCATTGCAGACGTGATTGAAACTGCCTGATAGTTGCCTCCGTGATGCACCTCGCCATTAGCAGTATCTATCAAAGGATTGTCTGTGGTTGAGTTCAATTCGCATTCCACTTGGCGTGTTGCGAGAATCAAGGATTCGATCTGTGGACCGATCCACTGCGGGGTGGTGCGGATTGCGTAGCGATCCTGAGCAAGACCAACATCTTCGGGGTTTGAATCAGTGGCTAGTTTGGAGTCCTTGAGGAGGCCGTACAGGTTGCGTGCCACTTCCTTCTGTCCAGGGTGTGGACGAGTGTTGCTGATGAATGGATGGAAGTTACGACGGCTCCCGATCAACGCCTCCGTGCACATGGCGGTTGCAACTTGAGCGAATAATGCCAGTTGGCTGGCTTCGAAGAGCACAAGACTAGCGGCTCCAGCGCTGAAAGCAGTTCCATTGAGCAGTCCGAGACCTTCTTTTGGAAAGAAAGAAATCGGCTTCAGGCTTAGCTTAGCGAGGGCTTCGTCTGATGGGAGGATCACATTGCTGTGCTTTGGTCCCAGGTCCACAAAAATGTCGGGATTTCCTTCAATTGCCCCAGCGATGTACGCAAGAGGGGTTAGGTCACCGGAAGCTGAAATGGAGCCGCGCAACGGAACAACAGGCGTGAAGTCAGCAGCGGCCAACTTAAGAATGTGACGAATGGCCACTGGTCGCACTGCCGAATGCCCATTGATTAGACTGTTGCATCGGACCAGCATGGCTGCCTTGACATATGGAGTGGGCATCGAGTGTTTCTTCAAGCGATCTTGGATGGGGGTGCTTTCGAGCCCCTGCTCAGCAGGGAGAAGAACACCGGCATTGTGATGCTGAACCAGTGCCTTTTGCAGCGCACGATAGTTGTCGGAACGCGTGTCGGCACTTCCTCCGAAGCCAGTGTTGACGCCATAGACGGTATTACCCTCCTTGAGGTGCTTCTGGAGGAATTCCACACTGGACTGCATCTTGGGGCGAACGGTGCCATTATCGCAAACGACAGGCGTCACCCCATGTCTAAGGTAAGATAACAAATTAGTTGAGTGCGTCCCGGGGAGTCCATGAATGCTAACAACGTACTTAGCAACAGCCACTACTTCGGCCACATCCAACCGGTGACCGTTGACGCTGACAATCTTGCCGGCCATGATAATGAATCCCAGCTTTGAGGTTGCACCCAATACATATTTCGTGAAGTCTTGATGTTTGTTTTTACCTGCGCCAGCTTCATCGACTGCTTGTTCGACCTTCAGCAGTGCGGACAGCATATCCTGAGCATGGGTTATGAGACTACTGTTGTCAGGTGATAGGTTTGTTGGAGTGTCTGCCATCTTGACTAGATGAGTCTCCTGTAGCACTTGAAGCGTTGTTACTAGTACCGTTGATACAGAAGCGCAATTTGATGAACAGATGTTCGAACTCAGCGTATCCTTGTAAACGAAATAGTTTGAAAGTGATGCTTGTAGAAGATGTGTTGATGATGAAGATGATGATGATGGAAAGGAGATGAGAGATACGATCACAACAGACGAGAGTTAATTCCAACCCTTAGCGAGCCAGTGGACATGCTAAGCGAGATACATGGGGGTTGATATAGTGAATGCGCGCTCCCTACGCGTTCTCTACACGCGCTCTGGCAATACAGTATCATGACCCAGTGTGAACTACTGGTGCTTGTGGCTCTAATGACTGACGATGGCCAGAGTAATAACCCCTTAGTAGGCGTTAGTGGCATCTTCCCGTGTTCATGTTCACACTTTTCCTCTGTCCGCTCTTGTTGCGTAGTGAGTCCAATACCTCAAAATGACACATCGTGAGATGATGTCTGTGATAATTGCCGTTGTGTATATTAAGCAGCAGACTACAGCACGAGTGCTTCTGATAAGCTCTTCAGGGGTTGGTGGGATTTCCCGGAACCCTCTCTGGGGTAATCTAGACTGCTCAAAGGGTAACATCACATTTTCACACTGATGATGCACTGATATCGTGAACCCGATATATCCAGACTCACACCGAGTGAGTGTTTAGGGGATGGTGAAAAGATTCCAATAAGCTTCCCTCGTAGCTCTCGGCTACTAGTATGAGACTTTCCAAGACCCTGGCAGCAGAACGCAACCCGACTTGGAAAGAGAGTGGTGGGAAACTGAGCCCGCCAATGGTGTGACTGCCAGCCACAGGACTTCCCGCTTCAACAGCCACACCATCACTTATGTCATCCATACACTCACCACTGCCATTTCATAACCTGATTATTGCTGGATCAAGGAATGGATGCTGCTCATAACCAGGAAGAATGGCCTTCTCCGCAATCTAGACCTGGGTGTTGATCTGTTGTTCCGTGTTTAGACTCTATTCTTCGCGTCGGGGTTCTACCTCTCCTCAAAGGGATCGTTTTCCGTCAATCAAAAACCATGTTTGGATCTCCCTAATATAAACGTACTTGTTGTCTCTGGGAGTGGTGGAATCGAGATTGATACCGATCAACAAGCTGTCACTCGAGTCTACCGTCACACTAAGACCCATGATTCAGGCAGACTTTCCGAGCCGCTGATGTGTTTACTAAACACATGAAAGTATACTGTTGTCGGCAGTTCAGATTTGTATGCAACAAAATTCCCAGGCGGTATCGTAACTGGAAGTTGGAGCGCAAATACCACCCTTGTCTCTTGCAAGTTCACTCATGTGTGGCGTGCTGAGTATGTACCAACTGGGTCAGAACAGATCTAATTCGATTATCAAGGGTACAGATCGAGACATCAGAACCTATCTGGATTTTACAATATATCAGATCAGCCCGTTGCAGGAAATAGATACTTTGATGCCAATGGTATTGATGATTGATTGGACCCAGTTGACTGGTCACTTACCATTGAATGCTTTCTCTGTACTTTGCATTCTTCAGCTTATGTCACGTTCGAGAACTGGTCCTCGTTGAGGTCCCGTGTCGGGCTCCCAGGAAGATAGCATGCCCCAAGCCCATGCAACTGATCTGTATGGTGCTACAATCTGATATTGTAGAGGAAATGGGGGCCATGTCAAACCCGAAGTAGTCCCATAAAAAGTGATATTGCTCCAAGGCGAGTAAGGAGGATTAAGAGACAGATTTTCGTGTACCAGGCAATTGCCCATGCAGTAACGCGAGATGGGATGACCAGGAGGTAGACGGATTCGTGCTTGTTGGTACACTTGCGTGTATGACCACACAGACTGCCGGAATGAAAGGGCAAGAATTGCAAGACTACAAGCAATTAGACTTACGCGTCTGCAATGGACCCTGGCTCCTTCCAGGGACATATTGCTTTCGGTTGGCGCACAACCTGGACCCTCCTGCCAAGCAACCCTGGTAGTATGGACGACGGAAAGCATTTCCCGGCCTTGATGAAATTTCCGTCGCGGTAAAAGTGGCCTATGAGGACCGAATCCCGGCACACTTGCAATTGGGACACATATGCAGGGCTATCACATACATGAATTGTTCCGGTCCTCTTCTCTCCGTTGCCTGCTTGGCAAAAAGGAGAAAAACACACTACCGCATACCATGTCTGTGGAATAGGCGTGCAGAGCCTATACAGAGCGACTCCTAGATGTATTTGATGGGTAATAAAAATATCCGTCGGTGTGTCATCATCAAGTTGCGCTGCATGCGGGATTTAGCCCCAGGGGCGGTTACTGTGGCGGCCGCGTCATCTGGCAGACCAAGTCGTATTGGAGTCTGGTATGATCGATTGTACTGCTAAGGAACACCATTCCCCAGCCTTCTTGCGATGATGGCGCTTCCTTATTGACAGATGCACGGACCAATTGACAGGAAAAGGAGAAGCCCGGAAAAGCCGGATCCGACACAAAACAGTTGAAGGGTGGAAAAGGGCCCGCACCTAGGGTCTCAAGGGTGACAGAAATAGACACTATGGACGTCAATTGGTTTCTAAACATAATGAAAACAACATGGATTCCTGGGTTATACCCATTGCAATAGTATCAAATCCTTTTCATTTTGGCCCCATTGACTCGCAATCATGGGGAGTCCACGAGGCCGCTGCGGGACGCCGACTCGCTCCCAATCCTTTGCCCCGGAGGTCAAATGAGCAGCAGACCACTGCAACAGTGGGAGCCATACTGGCAAGGCCCAATATTGAGAGTCAAGAGTCAGTTATCTGATTTCGTCAAGCCTGCCGATCGCGCGGAAACCGGTAGCGACGTAGGAGTAGGTGGACCGCCAGTGAGGAGGCGACTGTGAGGGTTGCGAAGATAAAGTGAAACATCCCGATCGGATAAATGGGCCGTGCAGGCAGGTGGCCAATCAGCTTACGCAGCCCATGGGATCTGCATAGGGCCACGCCAGCTGCTCCAACGCGCTATCAAATCCAAGGCTTGAAACGAACAGATGCCACAACCAGACAGCCGTCCGTTTCATTCATAGTGGCTCGCTAGGGAGGGCGACGACTGGTACAGACCCCATTTGTCGTCATCTTGGCTATTCCATCACCTCCAACCCTGCCATGCAGGAAACCAGGGATAGCCTAACAGACTTCCGGTATGGACAGATGCCAGAGAAGACTTCCACCCTTCTCTAGAGACTCTAGGGTCCTCAGGGTCCCATCGCTGTTACTTTCCCTATTCCATGGGTCCACATTATGGGCTCCCCAAGTTTGAAGGGGAAAGCTCTGTTCCGAGTTCAAATACAATTTTCCCAGTGAGGGGTATTATGTAGGACCTCATAACAACGACTTTTTTCTGATGGATAGGAAGTGAGGGTATAGGTATGAATATCCCCCACAGTGATTATCACATCGTCGTGATTATAGCTTTCACGATGATCTGTAAGCGGAAGAGGAATTTGCTGCACATAGAGACACTGACCACAGCTGCTGTTCTTCGAGATGGACCCACCCAAATAACGTAGAGTCAAGGACCCGCCATCGTTGGGCCCCCAAGAACACACCAGAGCTGACTAGCCTTCCGCTTAGTTAGCACTACGACCTGTCGACTGTCAGTGTCAAGAGTCGAGACTGGACTGACCCACTAACTTGGAACAGCCACAGCGGCAGGGGACAGCTTGATTGAGGACGTCAGCTCCGTTGCATTCTGGTTATCATTGAACTGAGAATATCAACCAGTCGCATTCATCCACCGACGATCTGAGGCACTTTTTGAGGCTTTCCGAATGTGTGGACTGGGTGTGGGTGGGTGTATGATGCGGAGAGAGGCAACCAGACAAAGCATTACCATGGGACTCTTGACGGAACCGCGAATAGATCAACCGCCGCAGCCAGGATCAAGCCACCTCCAAGCGGCAGAGGGGCCAAGGAGGGAGAGAGAGAGACGAGTCAGCTATTCTGAATAGGCGATGAGGAGATGAAACGCTGGAGGGTCGGCTGGCCCGTGACGGCCTTCAGGGCGAGCCGCGCACGTGGGGCCGCCGCCACAGCTCCAGCCAGCCAGAGTGACTTCCTGCCATTTCTTCCTCTCCATCAATAGCATCTTCTACTACATCCTCCCTTCTCACGGATCCAACCACTGGCTTCATGCTTAGCCGACCCACAGAAGCCCAGCAGGTACGTCCAAACCCTATTTTACATCAGCCCTGCCCCTGAGCCACTCTCCCACCCCCACAAGCGCCAGGTCTGGCGATCTATGCGGTTCTTGCATCTCCAGCATAACCTGATCTATTGCTGACAGTCGACGTCTCAGATTCTGGCGGGCCGAGCTCGGTGACAACAGTGCATGACGAATGCTTGGTTCCTCTCACGCATCGCAGCAGATGGATGGAGGTGATCATCGCTGGGTCTTGGCCGACTCAGCGCTTCGAGAGTGCCGTATAAAAGCGTCCCTTTTCCCAACCAGAATCATCCTTCATTCAGCTCAAATTCTCTTTCCTTTGATCTCAACTACCATTCCTTAAGAAGCTGTGCTTCGAACCTTCATTTCGTCTTCTTTTTTTCTCACTTACTACTACAAGTCCATCACTCTCTATCCTTTCAAGATGAAGTTCACCGGAATCGCTTTCGCTGGCCTTATCGGTTACGCTGCCGCCCTGCCGGCCATGGGCGCCCAGCAAGACTCTGCTCCCAATGGTGTTCAGGCCAGCGGAGCTCCCTCCTTCCAGGGTGCTGCTCCCTCCGGTTCCCCCCTTCCCCTTCCCTCGGGTGCTCCTCAGGGCCAGGGCCAGGGCTTCGGAGGACAGGGCCAGGCTCCCACCGTGAGCCTGGGCGATGCTCCTCAGCCTCCTCCCACTGGCTCCGCTGCCCCCGCTCCTTCCGGGGCTCCTCGCGGCCACAAGAGACGCCAGCTCGAAATCCCCGCTTCCGCCTCTAACGTCCCTGCCCCGACCGGCTCCGCTGCTGCTGGAGGTGACTTCGGTGGTGTCGCGCCCTCCGGTGTTGCTGGCGGCAACGGCGCTGCTCCTTCCGGTTCTTTCGGTGGTGCTGCTCCCTCCGGCGTCGCGGGTGGCAACGGCCCCTCTCCTTCTGGCTCCTTCGGTGGCCAGGCCGGCCAGTCTGGCTCTTTCGGCGGCAACGGTGCTGCTCCCTCCGGCGTCGCGGGTGGCAACGGCCCCTCTCCTTCCGGCTCCTTCGGTGGTGTCGCTCCCTCCGGTGTTGCTGGAGGCAACGGTCCTTCTCCTTCTGGCTCCTTCGGTGGCCAGCAGGGCCAGGGCCAGAGTGGCTTCGGCGGCCAGGACTCCCAGTCCCAGGGCCAGTCCCAGGACTCTCAGTCTCAGGGCTCCCAGTCTGAGCGCTCCCAGTCTCAGGGTTCCGACTCCCAGGGATTTGACTCCGAGGGATCTCAGGGCTCTTCCGAGCAGGGCTCCCCCTCTGAGCAGGGCTCCGGCTCCAGCTCTTTCGGTGGCAACGGTGGCGCTGCTCCCTCCGGTGTTGCTGGCGGTAACGGCCCCTCTCCTTCCGGTTCTTTCGGCGGTGCTGCTCCCTCTGGCGTCGCTGGTGGCAACGGTCCCTCCCCTTCCGGCTCTTTCGGTGGTAATGGTGCTGTTCCCTCCGGCATTGCTGGCGGCAACGGTCCCTCTCCTTCCGGTGCTGCTCCTTCCGGCGTCGCTGGTGGTAACGGCCCCTCTCCTTCTGGCGCTGCTGGTGGTGCTCCCGCTGCCTCGGGTGCTTCCTACTAAGTCCATGCGTAAGCCTTGGGGTTTGATCGACAATCGGCACCTTCGAATCATCTGGCGCTGATGCAATAATTCCACTGAGGACATCGACAATGCCGTGGTGATGGCATGGACTGGACAGTAACTGTGGATCAAGGTGTGATGGATTGGACGTTTGTGTACATTAATCACTAAATAACCAGTCATTCGTTTGACCAGATCTGGTAGAAGACAGAATTTGGCTGAAACATTATGTGATTATGTAGTTCGTAGTAAGGTAGCGCTACCAATATTGTTTCTTCTAGATTCTTTGCATCTAGTCGAATTCTCTCCCTAGACAGAATATATCAGGAAAATGCCCTACTAAAACATATGTTATATTCGCTGTAAAGGAGTTAGCAATTCTGGCGACACGAACAACAACACACTCATTTGTACCAGATAGTACATGACCCGGTGTAAATTTAACAAAAGACACTCCATAAAGATGAAATGTATCCTAACAATCAGAAATTACTATTGAAAGCAGGCTGGATATACTACTCAATAAAAATCCAATTCAATTTGCTTTTACGTTCAGTAGTAGAAAGTAGGACTGCAGTGTGTTGACTGAACCTCGCAACACAGTTCTAGAACTCACGTACTCCCTACCACTATCTCAAAATATATATAGTACTCCTTTGTAGTACTACTAGTAGTAACCCCCCAACTTCAACACTACTCAGTTACTGACTGAAGAGAAGTACTAAACCTTCCGCACCTGCCCCCCATCTATCCCTTCCACACGCCCATCATCACGACTAGAATCATCCCTCTCACTCTCACTTCTCCCACTATCATGCGCCCCCTCAGCTTGAACCACTTTCGGCCTACAGAAACCACCAATTAGCAAACTATCCACCCACACACCACTCAATAAAAAAAATATGAAAGAAAAAAAACATACCTCTTCCCCTCCCAAACTTGCAACCTCCACGTCACCACCGTCGATATAATCAAAATAACAGACATAATCGTCACGGTAACAAACCCCTTCCGGTACTGTGGGGCATCCACCTGCTGCCACACCACCAGCGGTAACCATGCTTGGAAAACGTATGCCATTTCGTTCATGCTGCCGACTACGAGCGCGCGCTCTTCGTTGTCGTCCGTGCAGATTTCGTGGGCCCATCTTTACATTATTTCGTCGGGTTAGTGGGGGTCTATGTGGGGATGATGTTAGGGATTGGATGGGATGGGTGTAGCGTACGCCATGCATAGTCCGCTTAGGCCGTAGCCTGCGCCGGAGAGGATGTAGCAGGTCCATTTCCAACCTGTGGGGATGTTCCAGACTGCTAGGGAGACGTAGCAGATTATGTTTATGCACTGGGTTTTTGGTTTTGATGTTAGTGGTGAATGGGATGTGTGATAGGGGAGGTGGTGGGGGAGGGGGCGTACAGCTCCGATGATTATGCAGGGCCAGCGTCGGCCTTGGAGAATTGTGTCGGATGTCCCTGATGATATTATTGTTAGCGGTGCTTGGGGTGGGTTGTGTCAACAGGGGAAAGGGATGGTGCGTACATGCGTAGATGAGGGTTGTGACGACCTGCACAGCGTTTGTGGTGGTCGGGTAGGCGTTGATTTGGCCGACAGAGTATACAGGGTTGGTAGAGTCCTTAAGGTATCTGCGAAGATAGCTTTAGCTGTAATCCAGGGAACTTGGGGGAGTGACACACTGTTGAAAGACGGGCTGACTGCCTGCTGCTCCGTTGTTAAACGTTCTAGGCTACTATTAGCTTGTCATGTTCATTGAGGGCAGGGGCTGCCAACGCACATGTATACGATCGTGAGCAAGTAGATATGCCACGACGAAAAGATCTTTTTCAGTTTGGATTTCGTGTATGGCTCCCTGTCTTTCCGTCCTTCAAATTGCATCCGTTTCTGCGCTAGCTTAACTTCCTGCTCGCTCAGATAAAACGGACTTGAGATTTCCGGGACATCCGGCAAGATGAAGAAGCCGCTGATGGCCACTGGAATTGATATGATTCCGTCGATCAAGAAGAGCCTGTCTTGTTAGTTGATTGAGCGTAGTCGGAGCGAATTGAACATACCATTGCCAGCCCTTCAATCCTCCTCGTCCGCCGAGATGGTACACCGCGTCCATCAGGTACCCAGAGAACATACTCGCAATTCCGCTGCTGGTGTGGAAGATACATGATCGCTTTGCGAGCTCATCTTTTCGATACCATGATCCAATGATGTACTGCATTCCGGGGTAGAAACCACTCTCGGCAAGGCCTGATTGCGTTAGTCAAAGATAGGCCAACGAGGAATCTCATACCGATGAAGAAGCGCAAAACATAAAAATGCGTCGCATTGGTACTCCGCGATAGAGCAAACGTAAGTACAGTCCATAGCAACTAGACATTGTCAGCGTAGTTCTCCTAATTTATGGACAACCATACCTCCATCGCCGGAATCCAATATCTAGGCCGTATGCGTGTCAAAAGCATGTTACTTGGAATTTCACCAATTACATAGCCCACTGTCCAGCATGCTTGCATGTAGTTGAGCTGGTTGCCATATAGACCGAGGTCTTCCTTCCTGCGATTTTGTCAATGTGGGTTGACCATGACCATGTGGTTGAGTTGTGTGACACGAACATTCCGGAAACGAAGGCATTGTTGATGTTGATTTGGTCGAGATACTTGATGAAATACCCTTCCTCAAAATATTAGCATATTTCTTGCGAATAGCAGAAATTAATGGAGAGCCACCTACCAAGCGACGCAAATGTCAGGATAGCTGAATCCAGCTTAAAGAGCAGTCTGCGCTCCTCAGGAGACTTGTCGAAAGTATCCCAGATGTAGCTAACCCATTTCCGTTTGGGCTTTGCCTGGACAATGCCACTGGATGTGTCAACAGCCCTTTCTTCAACCGTAGCTGGCGATGGAGCCATGATTATTCCGGTCGTGATCTGGGTTCACGAAGACCGGCAGAGGAGGCGGGGGGACACAGAGAGTACAGGGGATTTTTGACAGTCCGCTGCACTGCATATTGTCTCACATGATAGTCGCACATTTTTATCCCTGATTTAAGCTTGATAGCAAGGCTTGATGAGATGGTCTGGATGCCATATCTGATGGGCGCAGGACCGCACAGACCAATGCATCATCATCCACCACATTCACGCAATATCTGCGGGGCTTTATCCTGTCAGATGTAATGATGAGGAAGAAAGATAACAAGCGTGTCTGCCGATGTGCGGGGATAGCAAAGCATGTCGGGTCCGCGAAGGATGAGTGGTTGCTCATTCATCCTCCGGAGCTCGTCATCCAGATCTCGGATGATGTGCCCTGTTCATAGGCGTGCGATGCCGGCCGGTTAAAATGTCTACAGCCCTCATGGACATGCCGATCTCGCCTGATAAGCTTGTATTTGGTGCACTAGAGTAGTACCAATGTCTGCGTCTAATTGTGTCATCTACACTAAAATGCGAACTGTTCTATAGCTTGTCTAGCTGCATATCTCCAACACCGGAAGCTCCCCGATGCCGCTGTCTCGTCTCCGGCCAAGCCCCAGCAGCTTATTGGTTCTCTCCCTCTGCGCGGCTTTTGCCAGATGCCAATTGTCCGAATGGGCTTCGATCGCAGTGAGTCCATACTTGGCTCTGTATCCGTTAATCCACTCCAGCAGGTCAATCACGTAGAATTCTTCAATGTCCTTCAACGAGTGGAAGCGCTTGCCACTGCCCTTCTCCTTAATTCTACGGGCGTATTCGACTTTCATTTCGCTCTCCGCTGGTAGCTCTGCAATTCCGGCGAAAACGTTCGCTACAGCTATCGCTTGGAATTCGAACAGCGTAAACGTCGCTGTGTAGTAAGGGACTCCCACGAATGCCAGGGTTGGATCTGGGATGTAGAAGATGTCTTTGTGTAGGTTATGCACCTGCGTCCCGTCAGTCACTAAGACTGTATCACTCGCTTTCTCCGCTGGTGTCGCATCGTCGTGATATTCCGACAGAAAAGGCAACGTGATATGGTATCCGGTACAGATGATGATCGCATCAATTCCACAGAGCGTCTGTCCTGACTTCAGGTGTACCTTGATCGGCAAAGCCTCGTCATCTGCAGCAGTCTTTGCCTCGATTTCAAATCGTTCTATCTCGCTGATTCTTGTACCATTTTCCGGAAGCACACTGGATGAGATATCGAATTCACCGTTCCGTGTGCTTTGGTAGACTTTTTTGGCCAATGGACCGATTTCTCGAGCAAGATCCGTAGAGGACACCCCGCCTCCAATTAGCAAGACATTCTTAACATAGTGATTAGTTGTTTATTGCCTAACACGGGGACGAAAGAAGTTGCGCACCTTGTCCGCGTAAGGTTTCGGGTTTCTGTACCCCTTCGAGTGAGTTATGCGCGACGGCCACTGTGCTTTCGCCTTGGACAACCCAGGTGTATCTGGAACGCGAGGTGCATGATAGTGGCCGGAAGCGACTATTACCGCGTCGAATTTCTATTGATAAAAGAATTAGTAGTTTCTTCCTCCTGGAATGGTATAACTTACAGCAGTCTCCTCCTGTTCCTCCAATGCTCCTGATTGCGTGGTTTCCTTCAACGTCGACCACGTAACGTCCCACTTGCGATCCACCTTGCGCAGCCTGGTCACTCGAGCGCTGTATAACGTAACGCTTTCAGCACCAGCCTTCTTCGATGTGTCCTGGATGTACTCCTTCATCACCGTATGGCTGACAAACTCTGGCGTTCCTTCTGGCCAGGCATTGAGTTTAACCCGCATCAGCGATGTGGCCACATTGTTCTTGAGTCCATCATAGCATGGCCTGACAGTGTAAGCGATCGTACGGGAAGCAGATCAAGATACGCACCCTGGTGGAGCGTGCTCCAATGATAATGCATCAGCATGCCTGCGGTCCTCGTCTCGATGTCTCTCCGAAATAGATGGCTTCATGGCGGGGTAATTCGGTTCCAGTGGTTTTCTTTCATCGTGAAGCCTGATGGAGTCGTTAGATCCCGGTTGCTCGACACACCACTGAACGAGGAGGGATTACCAAACGCCACCTGCTGCATGATTCCGTTCAAAGACTGTGACGTCGATCCCGTGCGCAAGAAGGTGGGCCGCGGAGACAACACCGCTAATGCCAGCACCGATCACGGCCACTTGCTGGATTTCACGAGTCATGGTGGTTGTTGGTTATACTGTCCCACTCACAGCACAATGGTATGGCATAAGAGACATCTAGTGAGATCGAGCCGTCTGATATGTCCCTAATGAATTGCGAAGGAATATGGAGCCAGACGATATCGTTATGTTAGTCAAGTGTGGTGTAATAGCGACGCTACCAGTCGAGGATTGGGCATAGCCTGTCATATCTGAGACAGCTCGAACCGAGCTACTAGCGATAACCTAGTTCCAAGCCAGGAGGAACCTGCAGCAACGTGTGGTACGTCTGTTGCTTATCAATAATTATGAAGAGGGGATGAGGCCATCGAATCCCGGGATGATGCTCTCCGGGGACCCCGTTAATGGATGGCCAGGCTTGTCCACTGGGATAAGCGGAGATAAGAAGTCATCGAGAAGAGCATACTCAACAGAAAAGAGGGGTACAGGCGAGAGATGCCGCGACAGCCGTTCAATCTGCCAATTCCTTGGTGGTGGGATGCAGAAGACGCAATGATGGGTGGTGATGATGTGATCGGATCCCGTACCACGACAATGATGGTGAGGGGAAATAATCTTGGTATGCAATAAGTTCTGCATAGAAATATCACCCTAGAGCGCTGTAGGACCGGATATGACAGACATTGTAGTCGGAGTTCATAGTTCAATTGGATCATCATGGCTCCTGCTCCTATTGACCCGAGAATAGTTGATGTTGCGGAACCTTTGAAGCAAACGCTTCCGCTTCCACCAGCATCACGAAAGCGCCTTGAGAAGGCGGGAATAGACCTGTCTGAGGGATACCCTTACAGGCCGTCTCGTCCTTTGTACCTAGACGACGTCTACAAGATCCGCGATCATGACCGGGCCCATGTGGACCCAGGCACCCGCGCGGACCCAGAAAAGAAGGCACTCTTGTCTGCAGCCAAAGAGGTCATCCATCTAACCCGACACATTGGCACGGAGATCGTGGGACTGCAATTGAAAGACCTGACGGACCAGCAGAAGGATGAGCTGGGCTTGTTGATCGCTGAACGGAGCGTTGTCTTCTTCAGGGACCAGGATATCTCTCCCCAGCAGCAGAAAGAGCTTGGCGAATGGTTTGGCGAGATCGAAGTCCATGTAAGCCCACTATGCTTCTACACGTCAGTATCTAGCGGACTGACTGAGTCTCGTCCTTTTCCAGCCACAAGTTCCTCAAGTACCTGGCGTCGCCGGAGTGACAGTCATCTGGCCAGCTCTGCAGGCAACGGAGACTCCTGCTAACTTCCGTCGCCCTGGAGGAGCCTCACGTTGGCACACTGATCTCGTACATGAACGTCAGCCTGCAGGTGTAACACATTTGCATAACGACACCATTCCCAGCATCGGCGGAGACACACTCTGGGCGAGTGGTTACGCGGCCTATGAGAAGCTGTCGCCTGCGTTTCGTAAGATGATCGATGGTAAAACAGCCATCTACCGATCCAGTCACCCGTATCTTGATCGCGCCCACCCAGAAGAAGGCCCGAAATACGTCGAGCGTGAGCATCCCCTTGTCCGCGTTCACCCTGCCACAGGTTGGAAAGCGCTATGGGTGAACCGAGCCATGACCGACCGCATTGTTGGTCTCGACAAGGCGGAAAGTGATGTTATCTTGGGATATTTGTGCGATGTATATGAGAAGAACATTGACATCCAGGTTCGCTTCAAATGGAGCCCTGGGACAAGCGCACTATGGGACAACCGGTCAGTAACTTGCATCTTATGAGCTCTCGAGAGGTTCTGACATATGATAGTATTACCATCCACAATGCCAGCTGGGACTATGAAGGTTCCGAGCCTAGACACGGTACCAGAGTCACGGCGCTTGCGGAGAAGCCATTCTTTGATCCCAAGGCTCCGACTAGAAGGGAAGCTCTGGGACTGCTTGATCCTGCTGAGAAGGAAGAGTTGGCTCGAGCAAATTGAGATTAGGAACAGCAACTTTCGACTATGATCAAATGTATGGCTTTGGGCAATTGACCGCGAATTGTTTGTTACGTTTGTCCCGACTCACATGATAGCATTTACCAGTCGCAATAGTCTTTACCAAGTCAAAATCACCCTGCCACATCCCTTGTTTATTAAGCCTCGTTGTATTCTTCAAAACTACTTAGGCTCGAGCCATCTTTCTTTCTAGGAGTCCATAAGTTGGGCGCAATACATACTATAGATTGCCGTCATCATGGGTTGCTCGCGAACTATGCAAAGTGCTACTATTAACTGGGCAATTGTTTCCCGCACTGGAGTGAAGCCCCATTTTCGGCTTTTACGAAAGACCTGTGTACTGCGAATTGTCTAAAGGTATAAAGGAGCTCGGCGGTGAACACCCGACTTACTGTAAATACCAGCACTTCCTCGCGTCCAGTTTCATCCGGTCGCGCACTAGCGTTATTTATGGCTCCGTGTGGTAGGTAACCGATTCCATTGTCGGTGGCCATTGTGCCACTATCCAGTAATCCGAGCTATTAATAGTCGCAAATTATATGGTGTGGAGTGGATCTCACTTCCGTTGGAGGATATACATCCAGTGGAAAACCTCAGGCGCGTAAGCAAATGATGAAGTCTCTCCTTGGGGTGCTTTGAAAGGCGTCCGGGAAACGACAGTCCAGTATTGGGCCATATGAGACAGATTATCGAAACGCATGGTCGAGTAGGAGAGAGTGACCCAGAGGGCCCCTTTCTGCACCAGAGGTGCGAGGTGTAGCCCCAATAGCTCGACAGGAGACAACTCTATCGCTCCATGTTTATCCACAATCTCTTCTACCATCGGGCATGTACTCGCTGCGTCGGAGGGTAAAGGGAAGGTAACGGGAGTAGAAGTTGCAATCGCATCGCTTGTGCTTTTGTCGAGGATGACGTCGAAGGGCGAGGAAAGAGCTAACCTAGAGGCATCAGCCCAGGACCGCAAGTTAGCTTGCACCCAGCCCATCGCATGTGATGGATCCCTTTTGCTCTCTGTCTCTTGCCCAAGGCGAACGGCTTCGGCGGAAAAGTCCACGTTCTATCGCAAAGATGAGTAAGTAATGTTCCAATGGCTCAATGCGCCATCACGTCAAGCACGCACCACGATGCCATTTCCGGCCCAGTTGCGCTTAATGAATTCATCGCAAAGTTTAACTCCCAGCTTCGAGATGCCTGGCCCCAGATGGAGCACTCTTGGGTTCGTTGCCGAGCGGCTCTCGAGGTGAGATACTACCGCATCGATGAGCATTTCTCCCGAATTCAGCCACTCCCCGACGTCCCGACCAGTGGCAAACTTCGTATCCCAGAAGGTCGGATCATCATAGTCGGGGGTGCCTGTTATTTTGGTGTAAGTTCTCACATTTGGCGGGGCAGCCATGGTGTGCGAGAAGAGAGGATTGACGGTCGGCCAAACTTTGTTTGAAACGGACGGTGGTCACGTGAATGCTATCTTATCGCGGCATTGGTGTATGATGGATTTGACATTCGAACATCAAGCAGTGAAGTTGCCTGATAGGCGTTGGCTTGTCCTTTTCACAGACAAAGCTGTACTCAATGCAGGAATTATTATGGCATACCAAAAAAGCCTTTTTTTTTCAACCGAGGAGCGATGGCAGAGGTTGGAAAGATCACTGCATCTGGAGCCAATCCAGGGTTCTGAGTCCTATCACTGGTATTCGAGCGCAAAGCTTTACTAACTATCAGTATGAGAGTGTTCAGACTCTCCTTCAAGACCTGTCTCGTCGTTGCCAGTTATGCAGGTTTGCTCACTGTATCTCTTAGCAAAGTGTGGTTCAGTCTCCCTTTACGCTATGGATACTTCCATACGCTTCTGTCGCATACATCATGTGTATTACAGATGAGCAATATCTCATGAAATTGTGTGAGAGGCAAAGACTATGAGGATACACATGTGACAAATTCAAGTTGCCTACTAAGATTGCTAGAAACACACACTCCTGTCGAGTAGCAAGTTTCTAGGGCTCCCTAAATTTGCAGTACTTAGACATATCGACACATGGATAAGCCTTTTCTAAGGGTGCAAATTTCAGCCGTTCTCCCAATGAATCCAAGGAGACCTAGCTGAGAGCTCTCTACTAAGCATCATGCAGTCGAGTGGCGGCATAAATTACACATGAGACTTTCATCCCATCCTTGCATAAGTGAAGACGTCAGCGTGCAATGGCTTTGCAGTTGCGGGGAAGGGGCTGGAATGAAGTAAATTCACCACTCGCATGCTGTTAATTTCGCCGGGGCAGTTGCCATACATGGTCCCATCCCAAGTGATCGTCGTTTGCTTTATACATCTACATACGAGGAAAGAATCTACACTGGGAGCTTCGCATCAGGCCATCTGCACGCGCGGTGCTCGTCAATATGTCTGCATTTATCGCGGGGAAACACACCCTACCGTAGGCAAGATGCAAGCATTGCTGCCATGGCATGGTCAAACTTACGGCCTGACTCTGTTCATGGTACTCAACGCCTCTCATGAAACCGGCAAGTCTATCTACCGGTGTCTACAGATCCCATCTCGGTGTCATATATTGAACTCAATCGGACGAATATAGTTTCCTTCCTCAGTGCAAGTCAGCAATCATCTAGGTCCCTACTTGGCATAGACTGATCTGTAGAGCTACAACACAGTCCTTCACGGTACTTCTGCCTTGGTCTGCAGCGAGGCCCTAATTACTGACAACGCCACCCTCATCCCAGCCCAGATGAAGAACATCCTATCACATCGAAAAGCGCCCAGTCAGCGGCAGATGTACCTGTGAAGTACTCGATCGCTTGGTCGGTATTGCATGCCGTACTTGGTGATAGCTCACGCCCGTTCCAGGGGCGAGAGAGCGCCAACACCGGACAGGCCCAACGATGACCTCCAATCACCACCCTCCAGAATGTAACCTACGAGACATGGATCAACAAAGACAGGGATGAAGAGAGGTCGAGCCAGCTGTTACTGTATTGCAGCTTCTCATCTGGTGACTACCCCGCATCCGGGTTACGAGGAAGAGCATATAAACCTTGTGTCACCCGGCCAGACAATAGGGGATGATACCCTTCCAACTCGCCTGTTGTTCTCATCAATATCAGGATCAAGAAATCTCGTTTTCTCATTGTCTCTGCTGTAACTACTCTTCCATCATCAAGAAACTACTACAAAAATAGCTACTATTCAAGATGTCGACCCCTGCTATCCAAGGTCTCTCGTCTATGGGCTCGTCTGTCGGTGCATACTCTAGACAGCAGCTGGCTACTTTGAGAAACAGATTCTTGACTACAGGTAGGTTATCCATCATAGCAGGAGGAGTATGGTAAGAAGGAAGAAATCCTAATAGCCCGTTTAGAGAAGCGCAGGAGGAGGGCACAGCTTATCTCGACCTCGTTTAGCGTCCACAAGCCGGTCTGGATTGCTGCAGGGGGCGCCGCTTACACGACGATGGGCGCGGTCTATCTGACGCTACGCTACATGCGTCGCTTGAAATAAATCCACCTCCTCCGCGAGCGAGCGAGTGAGCGAGCGTGTCTGGTTACCGCTATTGGTGCTTTGAAAGCCACGAAATAGAGGAAGGGACTTGTCCGAGACAGCGATCTACATCCTCATTATTACCGACCATTCATTTCACATCATTTCTTTTTTTTTTTTTTTTTTTCCTATTTTATTTGGGTTACCCTCTAGGGTCAGGTACTTTGGACGGCACGGGATGGAATATGCAACAAGGAGGGAATGGAATCATGACATGACGGGAGTTTTACGCGTTTTGGGTTGCATTGGAACCAACATTCATCATGTATTTAACAAAGACACAATTACAAACACATCCAGGAATGACCATAAATACAAGAAACAATTACAATAACTTGATGCATCATTAGTGAGGGGCAGATATTTCTAATCCCTGTTGTGTTTCTTTTCATTAGTTTTATTACCTGTTGGCTAGGGTTGTCACTCGTGTGATCATCCCCTCTCTCTTTCTGTGGTGTGTCTCTGGGTGCCTGTCTGCCGTGTATTAATACCAGCTGCACAATAATGCAGCACACGCGACAGGGATAGTTAGGTAGTAGCCAGCACAGTAAAGTAAGTAAGTAATCTACATCAAACCCATTGGATCACACCACGCTGCGTCAGCGGCTGTCCTCATACCACAGTACTACCTCTGAAGTACATTCTGTCTGCGGTGGTGGTCTGATCACATTCATTCATCTAACCATCCCCTACTTTGTGAAGTTGAGTCTCTTCATCGATGAATTCATACTAACTATCCCTTATCAACAATAACATCTAGTATATCCACAGACTACTCCCCCCACAAGAGCTTAAGCACCCACTCTTCACCTCCATGGGTACCTAGTAAGTAGTACCCGTAACCCGTCATGGCAAAAGTGGGCCACAACAAGTTACCCCAGATTCCCATCCCACCAATTGATTAAAGTTTCGCTTTCGTCGCCATCCTCCGACCCATCCGTAACTAGGGATGACATCCGTGAGGACAGAAACAACACCGTTCAGTCATGGAGGGAGGGGTTGGGTCACCCGATCATTGGATGGGAAAAGCAGCGGTGGCTTTGTTCTGGCGATTGCAGTAGTACTAGACTTCGTCTTACCCCGCCCGACGTTGACCAGTCAGAAGTGGTGGGAATGGGCTGTGAAAGGTTAGTTGTTGTTGTTGCTGCATGATCATCCCCCCGGATCCTTGGCACCCCCGCAACCCAACCGCCCATGGAATGCTGAAGTTGAGCTGAGCTGGACTGTTGCCTTGACTGGACGGGACTGGTCTGGTCTGGTCTAAGTGGCTATGTCGGTACTGCAGAGGTACTTCGTGGGTACTTCAGGTGGAGTTCGGCTAGGGGGGAGGGGCCGGTATCTACCTAATTTTGTTGCAAGTTGGTTGCCACTGTCTGACTGGTAGTAGTGTAGGGTGGTGATGCGGGTTGTTGACTTCATGGGGGATATACTGCTTGATGCTGATCACTTGTGCTGAGGACTACCGTGGTGGGATGGGTTTCTGGGGTAGTGAATGCTCACAAATGATGAAGGTAGCCTGTATGAAGCCGAGAATAGGCAGTAGCAGACAAATGAACCGATAGTTGCAGTTCCGACCGATGAATATTGTTGTGTTTCACAAGGATCATGAACACTACCATATTGCAGTTGCAGATTTACAAGGGGCTATATAGCCATAACGTTCCCAATACTACAACAACAAGGCCTGCTGGCCCAATGGTAAGGCGCTTGACTACGGATCAAGAGATTGCAGGTTCGAATCCTGCGTAGGTCATTCTTTTTTGTTTTTCCCTTTTTCGCATTTTCGGTCTTCCCGCTTCCGGGTCCCCCTGTTGCTGAACACCAGCAGCCATAGCAGCGGTCGCACTTTTGTTTCATCCAGATTGTTGTATCGCTCTGCTGGTTACTTGCTTCTTCATTCCCTAATACTCATCTGCTTTATGATCACAATGCCGATGAACGAGTAATGTGCTGTCCTCGAGAATGCTCGTCTAATCATAACCTCGCCCTAGTAATATAGCCCTGCCGGTCATGCAATTTGTACTTTACTCTGATACCTATTGTCATTGAAACTTCTGTCTACAGTCTATGTGGATTGAATGATAACTCCGTTGATACACCCCTACGAGTATCTCGGTCGAGCTGCTCGACTGATACACATGAGCCCCATGCTTACCTTCCGTCTCACACAATGAACCACGACATCACTCTACCATATACCTGCAGAAGAAATCCTGCCAGCTAATTCGAGTCACCATCATCAGTGTCTACATTGCAAGTATGAAACGGCCACTGATGGCCCTTTGCAGAGACCAGAGGACCTGGTCGAGTTGGTTCTCTTCAACCATCGCTGTCTTGAATCATCGGCAGAACTAGCTACAATTGGCGGAACAAGAAGGTATTGAACGTCTTGCATGTCAATTGAGTTCCTAAGCATCAGAAGCATGGTGTTCCGGTCACTTCAGGAAGGTCTCAGTGGTAAGTAACAGAACCAGACAATCCAGAGTCTCATTTAAAGGCGTCATTATCGCAATGATCCCAATCAATGGCGACCAATCCAGAGGTTGGGAGTTGTTGGTTACCAGAACAAGGTTCATGACTCTTCATTGCAATATATGTCCTGCTACTCGGCGAAGCTCGCAGTCTACTCAGGAGCAATGAAAACGCCCTCTCATAGCCCTGGGTGTTCTATATGCTATCAGCCAGTGTTACTACGCTAATAATCTACACCATCAGTCCTTCTTACAGGATTTTTATGAACATATCCTGCACTGGAAAAGCTGTCACACCAAATAGCAGACGGGCAAGCCCTATCACCCTGCATTTGATCTACACAGCGAAACTGAGCAGAATTGTATCGAGCAGCATAATACGCAGCCACAATCCAATTCATAGGGCATTAGTAGTATCAATGTGTTAGTAATAAGGAGGCCTGGGATATTGACACCTTTTATACGAAAGTATAGGCTGAGTAGAAGAAAGAGCATAGAACATATCCCAGCTAGCTGGGACAGACTCAAACCTGCAAGTAAAAGTAGATGTACAACTTAAGCCCGAGCACCGGACCTCCACTCTCCACTAAAAGAAACAAGAAGCAAGTCGGGGTAAACACCATCCTCAACCCTGATGATCATCATCTAGGAAACAAGTCCGAGTCGAATCGGAGAATTATCCGCAGGACTATATCTTCACAACTACCATACATAATGTTGCAATCCCAAATCTCATCTTTCAGTTCCTCTACCACTACATCATATCTCCACATCATACACAACCACCACCAATTCACCATGACCAAACCAATAATCCTCCACCTCGGCGACCCCATCGCCTACAACCACGACCTCTACAACGGGCCCCTCTCCACCCGCTTCACCATCATCCGCGACACCTCCCCGACTCGAGAAGCTTTTATCGAGGCTTTGAAAACCAACAAGTATATACCCCCCTCCCTTCTTTCCCCCCAAGACATACACTAATTAGAAATCCAGATACGGCCCCATCACCGCCCTCCTCCGCCCGCACTTCTCCTCCGGCAAAACCATGTCCCCATGGGACACCTCACTCATCTCGCACCTCCCACCAAGCGTAAAGATCTTCGCCTCCGCCGGCGCGGGCTACAACGACGTCCACATCCCATCCCTCACAGCCCGCGGAATATACTACACGAACGGGGCGGGCGCGTCCGACGAAGCCGTCGCCGACACAACACTATACATGATCCTGAGCGTATTCCGGAACTTTACTGCGTCGCAGATCGCCGCGCGGTCCGGGGATGTGGAGAAGTTCATGGACTGTCATCGGAACTTGGCGGACGTG